CCATGCATAGCAAAAAAGGAAAGGGAGTAGAAGGGGAAAGGAGAAGGGAAAAGGGAGAAGGGAGAGGGATAAAGAAAAGAAGAGGGAGAGGGAAAAGAAGCAACAGGTTTGTTTTGTCTCTGCAGGAAAACTTTTCTATGTAGCAACAAGAGGAGGCCTGATGTTAAAAGGTGCAAATGTGGACTTGAAAGGAAGGAAGGTGGGCAGGTAGGAATCAGGAACAGAACTGATTATTAAGTGATTTACTTGAAATAACCCACCCCTTCATTGTCACTGTGTTTCATCCCTATGCTATCTCCTGGAACAGACCGACCCATGCCTCTACAGAGACATGCTTTTTGAGTAATTCCCCTCCATATCCAAAATACCAGCTCTCCCAACGAAGGTTATTTCTTGCACACTCCACATTACACATGCTAAATACTTTATTGTACTAGATACAACCTCTAAACATTTACAGTAAGTGCACTTAATAGCAAAATTGTTTGCCAGACCTCATTGGCTCTCTCCATACTTGTGAGTGAGAAACATTGTTTTGTTTAAACAGGAAAACAAATGAACAGATTCCTGAGTCTCCCACATACACTTCTGGTTATCAGAAGTTTATCACAGGCAAACGGGAACATTGCATGGAGGCTCTTGCTAAAATCTGGCAGCTTATTAGTGGGCTGGATTTCCATGTACCATAGAAGACAGCAGCATAGTTTAATATCCTTGGGTTTTGGTGTTGGTTTTTTTTTTTTTTTTAATATCAACCTCTTTTTTTTCTCCTTGATAGACTTAGAAAACTGGAGCTGGGTGAATAACTTTGTGGAAAATCCTCTAAGAGAAGAAAATGGGAGGAAAGAAAAGGAGCTTTTCTTGAGGCGGCATGGCTGCACAGGTGAGAGTTAATACTCTTTAAGCTATTTATTAGAAGTGGCCTTTCCAATCAAACAGTAAAGCCTGGGCAATTCAGCTGAACAAATGAGACTGCAGTTGCAAATCCCCTCCATACAGACACTAGCATATAGCACAGACTGATTGCTAACGGCAAGAACTGGTCGGAAAGGACACGATAGGTAGACTTGCAATTGCAAATTGCTCAACAGGAAAGCCCTTAAGAGGACCAGAAAGGAAAAGCCTGTATTTGGGTTACATTACTTCTGCAGCAGGTGGAAAAGAGCCAGTCCGCTAAGGCTGACCTCTGCCAGCTCCATCCCGTCTCATGGTCAGAAGAGACCCAAAGGAATGACAGGTGCAACGAGGATGGGGTCACGCCTTGGCGTGGGGGGGGGATGATGCCCTAGAGAAACACCTTTGCCAGCTCTGCTTTGCATCACCTTGATTCACAGTGATAGACAGGCTACGGGTGCTTGCATCAAAGCCTCTCCGTCTGGTGGTATCTTCTTTAATCCCACCTGGGGAGAACAATCTGCTGGGTTGGCTTCTATTTCTTTCACAGAAAAAGCAGCATGGTTTTAGTCCGTGGGAACCTGCTGCAGTGAGAACAGACAGAGCTGGTGGTGGCAGTGTCGCAGAGAGCAACCCCAGCTGGCTTTACAGTAGTTAAGCCTGGTGTCTGGTAGCATTCTTTTGGGGCAACGTGCAGGTCAGAAGCTACAAAACCTGCTTCAAAAGCAGAGCCCACTTGAGTTGCCCATGACAGGTTCCTTCTGGGACCCAGACTGGCCATGGCCAATGCCCCCTGACCACCACAGAGCTACAGACCAGAAGACATACTCCTCAGAGTGACCTGAAAAGCTTTATCTCAGTGCAATGCCATACTGGGACAAATTTATGCTGATATTGAAAAGTTACTTTGGAGGGTAAGCAGAACTAAGATACTGGACATAAAAATATATCCTTTCCTCTTTGACACCCAAGTTACCCAGGCGTAGTTTGCACCATGAACATAGCATGCCTGCCCTTTCTTTTTCACCAAGTGACCTATGTCAAGCCTTCACTGCCAGCTTGTTCAAGCAGTGCCACAGCTGTGACTAGTTGGGAAAGACATAGTTAAAAAAGCAATGGTGGATCTTGGGGCAACTATTTAAAAACCGCTGTTACTGGTGCACTGTGGACAGACAGGTGTCCTTGGTTTTAGGAATCACTGAAAAAGCTCTTAATTGGTCTGCCCTTTCTTCCTGTGCCAGCTATCTGCCCAGCTTTGAGCATCCCAGTCAGCAGTGAGCGTGAAGCTACCAGGAGATCTCAGAGAACTTGGAGCAAAAAAAGTGTTGACAAGGAATGCAATGTGCGTCAAACACAGAATATATTTTCAACTTTTCATGTAAATGCTGTGACTAACAGCTATGTGGACCAGTGGGTCACCCAGCCTCCCTAAATGTGATCACAACAGGGAGTTAAAATTCTACCTAATAATCCTTTATTGAAAGACAACCTTTTCAATTAGTTTTCAGACTTGTGCTTCCACTGAAAAAACAAAGTAGGAAAAACACATTTTTTTTGACCTGTGAATGATTTAATCAACCATATCTTTTAATACACAACTCCCCAACTCTACAATTGTTGAAACAAACACCATTACATTTGAACTTCAAGAGGATTTACTTGGACCAGAGGCAGCCAGCAACAGAAGAATTTTAATGACTGTGGGAGGATCGCTGGTATTTTAAGAAGCTTCTAAAACCTTTTGAAAGATTTGAGATAAGTAAAAATAAGTGGAGCAGGTTTTTTTCCCCTAAGTACTTTGCACCATGTTTTCACATAGCAAACTGAGTTCTGGAACTGCACAATGAAGCTGGAAAATCTGAACGGAAAAGCAAAAGTTAAAAAAAAATCTGAGACGAAACCAAGTGGTTTGGGAACCACACTAAAGAAGAGAGCAAATGAATCCTTCTATTCCCAGCTCTGGTTTTTATTCTCTTTGCTCACAGCAGCTTTAATTTCATTAGCTTGCAAAGAAACACTCAATCCACAGATCAGATTTCTCAAGGATATAGGGAGATCATGTCAACAAAACAAAGCACTAATTAAATTTTTAAACAGCAGCCACATGCTCAGTGAGTTCCTCTAGTGGAATCGTACAAGCAACATTCACATCCTGTTGCCTTTGATCGAAAGCATTGCACTTCACCTTTTAGAAAAGAAAAAGCCACCTGCTGCCAGAAGCGCTCCTGGATTAATCTACCCCACAACTGAAATTTAACTGCTGTTAAGCGTTCAAAAGGTCCAGCTTCTTGAATTGTCGAGTGCCTCCCTGGAGAAGGGCTGATCGGTGTACCTGGGCAGCAACTCCCACCTGTCGCAATTACAATCAGAAAAGCCTCCTTGGACATCCATCTTCATTCACCCTCTGCACCTACCCATGTGTCATGAACAATCACAACCCTGGTTTAAAATTATTCACCCACAGCTTCTCCAAAATCACCACAGTAAACGAGGGTGAATGATTTGCTGCTATTTCTTAACATCATCTTCCCACCCTATTCAGGAGAGATTTGATAAAGAGCATGCAAACAGCAGCAACAAGGTCACTTGGAAAGGGCAACCCTCTCCCCAGCAAAAAGTGTCAATGATGTCCTTCTTTTGTGGGGAAATTTGGGACAGGAACAAGTGCTTTCCATGGATCCATGGAAGAAAGCAACTCTGAGCACTCTGGAGAAAAAGAAATTGTTTTTCAGTCAGATGTCCCCTGTCTTTGGAGGCACTCTTAGCCTCTCCTTTCTTCTGCTTACCTGTGCCAGCTCAAACATCACGCAGGCACTAAAAAATTTAGGAGTGGCTTAGCAAGCAGATGCTTTTAAATGAAAAAGTTCATACAGACTGTTCTTCTCTTTCTCAGTAGTTATGTGGATATAAACCAAATCAACTTACATTCACTTGCTCTCAAACGCAGTCAGAAAAAAGAGCTGTTTGCCCAAAGCAAGTGCAACATTCAATACCTCGGTCAATTGGCAGATAATACTGTGTTTATCGTCTCTGCTCACTCCCTCTTCCACATTGTCCACACAAATTTGGCTTGACAGTACAGGTGAATTTCAGTTTTACTGAAAGCAGTGGCAAAACTCTCACTTTATTCAGTGGAGACAGGTTTTGCTGACTTGCTGCTCTTCCCTCCCTCAGCAAGGAACTGTCTCTTCCAAGCAATTTTATGCTTGAAAGTGTAAAATCCAAGCACCTCTTACAAGCAAGAGATGCTAAAAACTCTGCTTTTTGCTGGGCTGACCCTACCCCCTCCATTTCTTCCCCGCCCAAATAGGAGAATATTGTCCCTTGTGTTACATTCCAGTACGGTACATTGAAGGATACACCTCTGATTTTTACTTTGTTTTGTTTGTTTGTTTTTCTTTGTTATAGAGGCAAATTACGATGAGGAAAATAGCCCCAGGAATTTACTGTTGATATATTTTACATTGTTAGGAGAACACGCAGTTTCCCAGAGAAAGGTCCCAAGTTTTTTATCAGCAAGATCCCATCTTTGCTCATATTTACCCCTATCAAGGAGTTTTGATTAATGTCACTGCTTCTTGGTAACCCAGATTCACTTGAGTGGCATTCCTCCTCAAAACAGCCATATATGAAAAAATCCATCTCTTAGCTTAGCTATCGACAACGTGTGGCTGTTATATTTAGCACGGTCCAGTCATTTGCAATAGACAACTACCTATGTTGTCTTGACTTTACAAAATAAAATTGTCCCTTAGTAGTTCTTAGTAGCCCACTGCTTTTGAAATGAAGGGTACATCATTTAAAAGATACCTTACAAAGATTTCTCAGTGCAAAAATGCAGAAGATGTTTTGTTTTCAATTACAAGAAAGGTTCCATAAAACCGCATACATTTTTTTCACATTAAAAATCCCTTTGCTTTCCACCATGAACAAGAAAAGCATTCCAATGCCATAAATACTTTGTTTTTTTAGATCTATCAACCTGACTGTAGCTCTTTAAGAGCGTTAGGGATTTGTCCTACTTTAAGAACTTGTCCATGAAAAACTTGGGACCCCTCACATGTTACACATTTCATACCGCACTTCAAAGAAGAACGTTAAATACCTTGTAACTAGAGTACTGTTTATTTCATAATCTAAACAAACACTGGAATACAGTCTATGCTTTTCTACTTTCCTGCAGACTTTACAACGAGCTTTTTTTTTTTCATAATTAAAACAATCTGCATACACACAGAACATGCATGCTCTCTAACAGCAGTAATGAAGGTAAGAAGAGTCAGTTTCCATCATCTTCTTGTTGCCTGTATTAGAAAAAAATACTTTTGTTTTTACTGTAGTTATGGCAGTGTGGCTAAGGATACGAAGACTAGAGCACAGTTTTACTCCCTGCACAGAAAATGTTCATCACAAGCATGCTGATGGTGATAAATATTACATGTCTATTAAATGATAGGCATACTTTTATCCCCTTTACTCCCTTTTTAAAAAGACTAAGTGGCTACATGTAAATGCAGTGAAGCAGGTATAAGCTTAATTAATCAGAGTTGATTCAGACTGGCACCAAGATGCAGCGAAGTCTGACAAAGTCTCAGCAAGGCTTTCCATGGGCTGTCGATGACCTCTGCCACAAGGCATCTGCCTTCTACTTTTTGAAAGTAGAATCAAAGGCCTTGCAGCACGGCCAGTCCTGCGGACGGGATGGACTTCTCCGGTGTGTTGGGCTCCCTGGAAAAGAAGCACTTGTAGTCCATTAGTGTTTGAGAAAACCTTGTGAGTGGGTTACCTTCCCCGGGGCCGCGCACCCACCCCACTCCACGGCGTAGCCTGCTGCTCTTTGTCGGCCACGCGGCCGGCTGTGGTTTTACACCACTGAGTGGTCATTGCTGTGGACGCCAGCCAGGATGGTGTGGTTGAGCGAGGATGCCGACCGGTCCGAGCCTTCGGTGGGGCCGTTGGTGCTTTCGCTGCGCTGGCAGCAGAGGATCTGCTTGAAGGTTGCGCTCATCTCCTTGTCCCGGTAGGAGTAGATGATGGGGTTCATGGCAGAGTTGAACTCTGCCAGGAGAAGGAAAAATTTTTCATAGGCCAGGACGTTGCACTGGGGACAGCAAACATCGAGGAGCAGCAAGACTAATCCCGGGGTCCAGCAGATTATGAAAGCACCTATGAAGAGAAAGAGCGGACAAAACACAACAAAACCCACAAATATACTAATGCACCATTACTCATCAAAGCACTATGAGAACCACCCAACTGGAAGTGACAATTGTTAATTTTCTCTTTCAAGAGTATCGTTCCCACACTATTTCTTCACCAACCTGATGAGAAGGACGCTTTTTAAAGATCTGTAAATGGTTATGGGCAGCACATCAGAAGAGCAAGGCATTCCTCCCCACACTCGCCATGTGAAACTCTGCTTGGCAAATACATTTGCATTTAAAGTTGATAATGAGGAACATTTTTTCCCTTCAGCTAGAGACCTCTGACTAATCAATCTCTTGATCAGGAGAAACAATGCTGCAATTCTCAAACTAATAACAACAAAGAAAACCTTTCTGTGAGTGCTGTGACTGAAGCATCAGTAATAGAAAAAGAGTGGTGCAGGCAGCAATTCTCAAGAAAAAGAAAGCCTGGGTCTTGTTAATCCATTTCAGCCCCATTATGTAATGGAAAGTCCTAAACACACATCCTTCTTGCACTGAAATGCCATCCTTCAACAGATCTACTTCTTTTCTTAGGGCTCTATTCAATAGAAATTCAGAGGCTCCTCGGGCTTCAATAGTGTAAATGCCAAAGAGCCTTACCCTGATTAAAATGCTTCCCCCTCCTTTCTCTGCTTTTCAAAGCTCTGAGGGGAATAAAGCCCAGAACAAAATTCAGAGTTAAATGCAGAAATGAAATCAAATGCCTTGCACTTTATTTGGAGTACTGAGTTAAACGAAGACGATAACTCCTTGCAAAGTTAAAGAGGTTTTAAATATAAGCACTGCTGGGGAAGCCCTTACACACCCACCAATCATGCCAGAATGAAGACAGTGCTCCTGAGATTTTCCAGGCTGACATGCTTGACTGAGGTGGAAACCAAGGTCTTATCATCAGTGGGCAGGCTAAGCAATAAGGGCTTCCCAGCACTACCCAGTGAATGCTGTTTTCAGACAGGTTCTCCTGTCACTGTGGTATTTATTTGTTAACATGCTGCCTCTGTTTTTTTCTGCAGTGATGCTCTCTGCACGTCTAGCAGCTGACTACAGTCAGTTTCCACGGCACACAGACTTTTTGCTGTGCCTGCCAAGAAGGTGCCAGCTATTTCCAGCTTGGGCAGTGGCGACTGTAACCTGTGCAGACACCTTTCTGTTTGGATACCAAACCTGCCTAGATCAAACAGAGGAACATTTTCCAAAGGGCTTTGCAAACATGCAGGGTGTGCTGGGCTACAGACACTGGTTGCTAACCAGGCAACCACACACAAACTTTCTACATACCCAAAAGCACACCTAAACTGAACTTGCTTGCAACTGATGGTGCCACAGTGCCACTCAATGCCTATCACTTTTCCAACCAACAAAGCTCGCAAAGGGAAGGAAGCTGGGAGGCAAACTGCCAGCTGCCAGTACAAAGTACCGACGTGTTTGGCCAAATGACTTTGTTAGGGTATGGCAGCAATTTTACAGCATAGGGATGAAACTCTCCCACGCTGAGGTGGCATCAAACACATGAATCCACTTCATAGCTTTTGTCTGCAGCTCTTTCAGATTCCAGCAGTCCTAGAAAAGAATACTTGAAACCCATGCAAAGGACTACGGTCTTTTGTCCCTTCCTTGTACCTGTTCCCAGAAGAGTAGCAAACTGCATCCCTTTATTTGCAGGATTGTCCACGTTGATACAGAGGCTGCCCTCTGCACAGAGCAGCTCTGCTGAGATGGTTTCTGCAGAAACAAAGCCAATCTTTCAAATTCAACCACTCACTGCTGAAACTGTGCGTGTTGTGTTCAACCTCCTAGCTAGCGAGGCAGCAGTGGACTTTGTTCCAGCTTGAGCATGTATTTTCTTCATTACAGGCTGCCTCGGGAGAACAACATCAGAGACGGGAACACTGCAAGTCATGGGATCTACAGTCAAGGACAAAAGACGATGACAGCATCCTCACCAGGCCTGTAGCAGAAAAGTCCAGTGTGGGAACAATGGAGCTGACAGGAAAGCTCTCCTAGCGTTGTTCAAAGTTGCAATTGAAAGCTTCCAATTTTCCAACGTTTTTGGTTGGTTTTTTTTCAAATCTGTTGTTGAGAAGCTAAATATGCCAAACAGAACGTCCTGTTGCTATCGTTTTTGGGTATGTTAAAAGCAGCAACAACAAGAAGCAGTACGGTGAGGCAGGTAGGCATTTACCCCTAAGAAAGCCCCAAAGTCTTTGACAACAGTCCACATGCAGGCCACTGCACTGAACACTGGTCACAGGTGGAGTTTCTGAGCCTGTCTGAGCTCCTTAGTATCTCATATAGGTCCAATAACCTATAGGCTGAGGCTTGATGTGGTTGCACTCAAGAAAAAGTGGATGGTGGTTGAGCAAGCACCTAAATGCTCCGTGCAGCTCGTGCTACACTGAAAAAAGATAAAAACAAAGGCTTGTCTTCCCACCCAGCTCTGGAAGAGAATGGAAGTCATTATTCTGCAAGTTGTCACTCTGCTGTTCACGACAGGCCTGGAGCTGGGTCAAAGATGTGCTGGCAGCCCGGGTGTCAAAAGGAGAAGATACTCATGCTGCACAGCTCCAGACCTGCTTCGGTAACGTGGGCTTTCTGCTGCCCCAGCCCCCAGCCACAGGCCAGGCTGACTTTCCAACCTGTGTCCTCCACGTGGCAGTGGAGCACACAGCATCCAGGACTGCACCTTTGTGCAAACAGGGCTAGTTTCCAGCTTCGGAACAGACGGCTCACTTGTTATTGGGAAGTAAAAGCCATTGAAGCCAGTCCCATTCAGTCTAGTGGGTTTTGTTTTACTTTAGCTGCTGGGATTTTCCTAGCAAAACCTCCCACCATGCTAATGGCTCCTGTGGCTTATTAAGTTAAGTGCTTGCAAAGGGTGACACAAACAATGCCTCAGGTTTTCTCACTTGTTATTTAACTGTGAGTACCCCGGAAAATACTGGAAAGCATCACTCATGGTAAGGGCATGTTTGAGTTAGGTACAATGCAAGGAACATGAAAATGTCAGACTCCTGTTACTTCAGATTTAGGAAACATCATCTGTTAAACACAGAACTCTTTCCCTGGAAGGAAAAAAAAGCTTGAAATTTATTTTTTCTACTTCTTACTTGGAACATTTGTCAAAGTAAAGTGATACTAAGCTAAAAGTGAGGTTAAATTCTTCCCTTTCCAGAAATCTGTTGTGCGTTGATTTCACCAGGAATGAAGATCTAAAAATATCATGTCTAACAGAATAATTAAATCCAAAAGCTTCCTGCTGCCATATACTGAAAAGCCTTAAGCATACACCAAAATCTTGATGTATTTTTCTGCTCAGGAACAAAATTGAGAGCAGTCCAAAGTACAGTGTGAGTAATTTCCAGGTGCATCTTAACATTTTACAAACTTGGTCAATGTTATCCATGTTACAATGACATAGAAAGCAGACCTACTGCATTAATTGAATCAAGTGTCGTCATCTTTGTGGACGTGACATTGTCATGCCATGGTACTAGAAGAGCCCAACATGCACAAATAAAATCACAGATGGCATGTCCTTTGGTGGCTGAAGAGCACTGTTGCCTGGACAGATAGAGGGCTGACACCTCCAATCGTGGCTGTCCTCAGAGGCGCTGGCACCACAAAAAGCTGACCAAGCTGTTCAATTGCAGCAGAAGGAACATCCCTGTGGTGCACAGCCAAGGTCTGCCCTGCAGTTCTGGCAAGAGAGGGCCAGGTGAGGAAGAACGCCTATCAGACTGAGGGGTGAATGACTAGCCATGAGACAGGAAAGCTTGAGAGAACTGGAGAAATGGCACTGCACCTTTTAAAAAGATTTAAGGAGACAAGATGGGAAGGGTCTCTATAGACTGAGAGGCATGTTTTACAGTAGGAAATCTGAGTTACAACAAAGCAGTTGTGACACTAATATCATTTTCTGTTGCTGTGTGATACCTCTCACCCAGGGCTGAAACTCCAACTCCTCAGGCATAGCCTGTCTTGCTGCGCTGTGGCAGAAATCCACTGGGGGCTTTCCAACGACCACAATATGACTACATCACATCTGTCCTGAACCCTCATCTAGTGTACCAGTGCAAATTGTATTTCTGTGGTAGTTGGATGCTTGGAAAGTCCTGGGTAAGCATGGCATGGCCTCACAGCAAGATTTGATTGCAAGAGAGTAAAAACTGTTGCGGGCAGTAGGCATATGAAACCAACCATGATAAATGACACAAAAATGAGTGACTAGAAAAACAAAAGAGGAAACAACTGCAAAAACCAGCAGCAGAAAAGAAACTAGCTACATGAGAATAAACACCGATGAACCAGTCATTGATTACCAGGACCCCAGACTGGATGGCTACTCATAAAATTTCTCAGGTTAGCAGGTGAAGCATTTCCTAAGCAGCACTGGTGGGTTTTTTTTTTTGGCCTTTTGCCTTGGACAGGGTAAGTCTGCTTTTAGTCCATGAATGTTTATTTTCCTCTAACTCACGACAGCAACATAAAAGAAGCGCTTGTGCTCCTGCCAAGTCACACACCTCTGTCCCTCAGAGGCTGCAGCGTGATGCGGCTTTTGTCAATGGACACCTATTCTGAAACACCCCTTTTCTCCTGCTTAACCATATGGTGTCCCTTGTGTGTTCCCTCTTCCACCCATCTTGGGTGTTGACCCTGGCTTTACTGATTTCTAGCATGGCCTTACACTCACCCTGCAAATTCCTCATACGGAGAAGTCTGTATGGAGGGGTAAAATATGGAAAGGGCCTCTTTTAGGAGTGAGAGAAGAGAAAAGGGGAAAAAAGATCTTGCTTGTGTTTGCAGTTTTGTTAAGATTGCAGAAATAGGATAAGGCAGAGAAGACCCACTCCAGCTGAACTGCAGGGACATTTACATTCTGCCACTGTTGCCCATCTCCCCTTGTTCACCTGCTGTCCTCTCCAAGTCCCCTCCTGTTCTCAGAGTGGCACTTGGGATGGG